AATGAGGTCAGAGAATTGTCAGTGCTACACTGTGGCAGGGTCCAGGGTCAGATTCATCTCATTTCCATCAAGCCATAGAGGGAAGAGAAACAAGGAGTGTCCTCCCATTCAAGTAATGAAATTTATCCCCTGAATGTACGGAAGTGAAGTCCAATTAATTGACACTGTCTCTTGGCAGAAGTGTTTAATCCAAACCCATGAAAAAATATTTGAATTAAAGGCAAGATACTCTGAACCTTGGAGTGAGGGGAGTTTTGTACGACCACATGGAAATTATAGGGACTTGAAATGTCAGAAATGAAATGCCGTTTTGCTGTAACGAAACATCAAAGTGAGATGTCAAGGTGACTGTTTCATTTTGCTCTTGTAAAAGGTTACAAAAAACAGAAAGGACAAATGGAGACTACCAGCAAGAAACGAGTGTCATGCAGACCCAGCGGAGATTTCACTTCCCCCTCTCCTGTACACTACAGTTTTTATAAAATAATATTTTTTGAATTTGCAAGTAGATATGGTAGAAAATGTGAAGGCCTAGAGGTATAAAACAGTGCAGTTTCATTTTACAACGGATACAGTATTTATTTGTTAAACATAATAACAGAAAGAGTATTGTGTTCCCCTGTGTGTGTGTGCAAGCGTCCTCTATTTGTCTTAAATTTGTTAACCACAATTAATTTTCATTCCATATTCCATATCAGCTAGCCCCTCAAATTTAACTGTTCCACATAAAAAATGGTGCCAAGTTTATAAAAGCGACCAGCTCTGATCTGGTTATCAGCCTGTGGCATGTGTAATATACAAACATTGTGTGTTGCCTTTCCCTGTGAGGACCTTGGTGTCAGGAGGGTTTGATAGATGGCTCCGACTTTGTCACTAGAATAGCTTATGATGGCCACGGCTATCAAGACAGAGGGAGGCAGCGGCAGCAGCAGCAGCAGCAGCAGCAGCAGCATTAGGCTTTACTACTGCTGTTTACAGCCATGCAGTAAAAACACACCGTACTGTACGCCCTGCTGCTGCACGCTGCGCTACTTGCCGATCACTCTGCACACTATGCACAATGGGAACAAGAGCCGCTCGCCTGCCTGGTGGCTCTTCTGCTCAACAGGGATCAAAGAGAGAGAAAGAGAGAGATAGGAAGAGAGAGGAAGTGAGGGAGGGGAGGAAGTAGAGGGTGAAAGAAGTACAGGACAAAGACATGTGTGGAAGGAAAGAATGGGGGAGGGCTGGGGGAAAAACAGGCAAGGAGTTGTGGGAAGAGAGGGAGAAAAAGAGGAAAGAGGAGTTAGTGAAAGTGAGACAGTGTAGAGTGAGGCGATAGAGTGACTGAATGAATGAATGAAAGGATGAATGAACAAGTGACCAAATCAAGTGACTGAGTGAGTAAGACAGACTGAGTGAGGAAGTGTCTGCAAGCATGCTTATGTCCGTGTGTGTGTGTGTGTGCGTGTCAAGTGAGAGTGTGTGATCGAGTGGATGAGTGGGTGAACAAGTGCAGCAGGACAGAGAAAGTGAGAGAGAAAGAGAGGGAGATTGGGAGAGGGAGAAAGAGAGAGGGAGAGAGGATATGTTCCGTCAGAGAGGACACACTCCAGTGGCTGTGATTGAAGTATGGGCCAATTAACACGAGGAGCATTGAGCTCCAGCTGCACTCTTCTCTTCATTCCTCTGCTCCCCCACACTGCCATATTACCCGCACGACACACACACACACACAGACATTGATACACTCACATATATGCACACTGTGGGCACCACACTGGTACTTTATCTTATCTTTCACTATAGTACAGCTATGGACCCAAGGAAATTATAAAGGCTACATACAGCAGTGTTCTCGAGCACACTGCGGTCTTAAATGTGGACGAATGAAAAAAAAAAAAGTGTCTTCATCTTCAGGAGATGGTTTCTTATTCTAGGCACTTACAGTGACTCACAGAGACGCTGCAATTTCTTCTAATGGTGTACAGTAGATTATATATTAGCCTGCATATATTTCAGATGTTTTGTGTTGGCTATGGAAAACTGCCTGGGCTGATTCAGTGCAGCCTGTGCCATAGGCAGCAGGGAGCAGGTCCATTACTCTGCATGACAGACTGGAATGAAGCAGCAGAGCTCCGATGTGGGCAAAACACAACGCTGAACACTGCACTTCCACAACTCCACACTCCAGACTCCACAGACTCCATCCCCCATTCACATTTCCCCAGCAGATCCGATGCAGCACAAGGTCTGGCACGCTGCCTTTACTGGAGTTCAGTGGGAGAGGCGCTCGGAGAGGCGTGGATGCCAGAAACCGACTTCCACCCAGAGCGGCTCCCTCCTCTCTCGCGATTCATTCTTCCAGAGTCACCACAGGCGCTCGCTGCAGCTGTAGCATGTACAGTTAAAGGGAAGGAGGGGATCTGATACTCTTAAACATTGTGATTGTTTTCCTACCATCGCACTGACACCGAGAATCAATTTTTCATTTTGTGTTTAGAGGCTATACAAGTTTTTTCTGTCTCTTTGGTGTTTGGGGGAATAATATAGGTTGCACTGTAATTCTCTATAGAGGGATATATCGTCAAAGTAGTTGAACTGCCTTCAGCAACACACAACTGAAAAATGTGTTGTTTGAAAAGCTGCACCTACAGTAGACATCAGTTCCTATAGGAAATCATTTGGAATCACAGTAAGCACATTATGCAGTGTAAGTGAAATATTTAAGCAGATATGATAAGATGTGTTTTGATTGGGAAGTACTGGCAATTTTAGAAGAGAAAGAGGAGACTGGCTTGCCTGTGTGAATGTTTTCTCTCTCATCTTCTTGATTAGCTGTCTCTGTCGGCCTGAGAATATTCCTGCTCTTAAGTACTCTAAATATTCCTGAAGGTGTTTTTAGTTTGCTTGTAACAGTTGCTGGCATGTACGCAAGCTTCCGTGGTGCTGTAAATGCCACTTTCTTTGTTTAAAAATACAAATTAAACAGGCTCAACGGGAAAAATAATTACACTGTAGATACAGTAAGCTACTTTTTAAAGTGATCGACAAATTGAGACATCAACAATGTACAATACGAATACTTAAGTGTAACTGCTGATATAATATAATGATTTAGACAGAGAATGATTATAGAAGGTGCGTGCACCGTGGCGAATTCAAAGTTTTAAAGTCTAAGAGAATCATCAAAGAAAGTACTCTTATAAAATTTGAAAGGTTTTATATTCCACATTTTTTCAGTGCAGTCACAGTCAAAAAAATAATATATTACAATATTTATCGCACTGGTGATGAACACAATGTCCCAAATAAGAAAACTTAACACTTTATCTTCCAAATAATACAATACCATGTGATGGTTGGATCCTGGCATTGCTCCTAATAAAGCACTCACATTACTATGCATGTCTCAATCAAACTGAATCCTTACCTTGAATCCTGTTCAGGGAAAACAGGCTTCTATACACTTTTTGATTAATTGATCCCAATTTAAACATTCCCTGGGTTGTAGGCAGTCCCTTGCCAAATATATATGCAGTATACACTCTACTGAATTAGAAGCAGCTCCAAAAACTGGAGAGGATCGTTTTTAAAGCTAGGAGGGGAAAAAATATACTAAAATGCGAACATTTGCATTTTAACAAAAGATTCATTTACGGTAGCAAATGAAATGAAACAGTAATCTCTATCTCTTTCTCTCTCCCACTCTCCTCTCTCTTCCTCTGTGCGTGTGTGTGTGTTTGAGTGTGTGTGTGTTGTGTACTGTGAGCCCCCTCACTGCATGCCTTTTTATGATTCAGTTTGCAGAATTGGAACACATAATGAACTATATAGTAAGATATATTTAGGTAAGGATTTGATTATAATTTACTTATGCTTTGCTTTTTTGTAGTGCACCCAGTGAGACGCACGTTCGATAACAGGCATAGTGCACTCTGCAGGAAAAGTGGCTGCTGCATGTGGTAATACACTGTGTTCACACTCCCAACAAGGCTCACTGTGATGGAATGGCACGTGCTGGTTGAGCAGTGCAACGTAAACACCTCATGAGAGTGAAATACAGTGACGGGCCTAACAGTTAATGGCTCAGAGCTCAGCACCGTAGAATACAGCTCCACCAAATGATATGATGTACCGTATTCCTGCAGCTTCATCTCTGGCTCTCTCATTTTCCCTCTGTCTCTATGTCCTTCCCATTCTTTCCTGCCACATCTTCCTCGCCTTAAAGAAAACAACAACAACAAAGCCCTGTTTTTCTCCCTCTCCCCTTCATTATTACATTCTCCCTTTTTCTCTCTCTCCTACTAACAGGTCTGTCTCTCCCTATCTCTCCACACCTCCATCTCTTTTTCTTACTCGTATCTATCCGCCTCCCTCATTCGCCCCCTCATTCCATCTCATTCCACTGCTTTCTCCTTCTTTCTCTGCCTCTCTTTTTTTTTCTCTGTAGCCCCCTGACCACACACACATGCTCACAGCCCTGTCACTCAAAATAGGAGGTTTGGGAGTGTATTTGTTTAGGCCAAACACGTATACACATCCCAGTAATCAATATTGCTTTTCCTGCTACTCTCCTCACATATTTTACGCCACCATCCCACCATCCGGCTTCATCCTTTCTTTTTGTCCTGGTCTCCTACTCCACCCGGCCTCCTTCCTCCATCAGTCAGTCCATCTGAAGTCATATGCCCTGTATTTATAGTACCTTTCCATTCTATTCATTTCACAGCTTTCTTCCCTCTTTGCCCCTTTCCTCTCCTTCCTCCAGTTACTTTTTCTTCTACACCCCACCTCTCTCTTCTTTTCTTTGTCGCTTTCTTTTTCTATCCAAAAGACTGATCAGGGTCAAAGAATCGGCAGACTGTGACAAAGAGAGGAGAGTCGGATGAAGACAGAGCGAAAAACATAGAGAGGAGGAAAGGGGAAATAGAGGCGCAGAAAGGGAGAGTGACTTTAGAGGGAATATTATGTCAGCGGGCCCCTGTTAATCAATGCAATTGTGTTTGGTACCTGAAGCCATGAAAATTGGGAGAAGAGATGGGGAATATGAAAAGACGGAGCACGAGACGGAGCGGGGAGAAAGTGAGAAGGAAATGGAGAAAGGGAGGGAGGGCAGTTGGCACCAGAAGTAAATTGAAAATGATGTGCTGTGTGTTTTGTGTGTGTGCGGCGCACATATTAACCCTGCTATCTCCCAGGTAGTCATTATCTTTCCTTGTGGTTGTTTGTGGGAGTGTGTTCGTCCATGTTTGTGTGTACTGCATTAACCCTCCCATCTCTCTATCATTAAGCTGCTCTATGGGCATAGTGTGGCCATGCATTTATCTTGCGAGAGTGTGTGCTTGTGAGTACATTCAAACACTTGCATGCGTGTCTGTGCGTGGATGCAGCTGTGTGAGGGCGAGTGTGTTTACAGTAATCTTAATTGTTGTTATCATTCATGCAGCACAATAACCACCTCCGCCCCCATCTTTGTCTCTGTCTGCTATTAACTCTCTCTCCCTCTCACCCTCCTTCCCTCTAACGGCCAGTTTCTATTTTTCTTCATATTGTTCCCTCTCAGCCTGCAGCCTAAATAGCACCCATTTCATCTTCTTTCTGTCTTTCTTTCCTTCCCTCTATTGTTTTTTTCCCCTCTGCATTCCATACTCCACGTCCAGTATTTTCTCCAGCCAAAGCTAACTTTTATTACTCCATGATTGGATTCAGAATTCATTACCCTGTCTTGCCAGTATGCAATCTCTGATCAGTTTCTGCCTTCTTCCTTCTCACTCTCTGTCTACACCTCCTTCTTTTTTTCTTTCTCGCAACCTCCTTCTTCTGTTCTCCTTCCTATTCTCTCCTGATTTGATTTGATGTCCTCTGTACTGGACATTATAGAATCCCCCCTCCACCCACCTGAGTCTAACTTAATCTCTTCTTCTCTTGCTTCTTCTTCTTCTTCTTGTTCTTCTTCTCCTTCTTCTTCTTCACCTTCTTCTTCTCTTTGCTGTCTCTCTTTCTTTCAGGCACCCTCTCTTAGTGCGATATATATCTGCCTCCCCCCCTCGGCAGGTTGCCATGGTCGCCATACCTACTCTCTCTCTCCTATTGGTCCTGGCAGAGTGGGCAGGTCTGGTGGACGCCTCTCCCCACCTCCTGCTCCGGCCCAGCCCGCGGGAGCGTGATGCAGGGGCCATGATGAACTTCAACATCGCTGTGATCCACGCCGGGGCTACGGTGCAGGCAGAGGCGGCGGTGGCAGGGCCTGGGGGAAGGGTGCTCTACCCTGGTTTCGGCCGGGTATATGGCTCCCTGGGGGAGAGCGTGGTCACCCAGTGGGGCTCTGCTAACGTCATCTGGCTACAGGTTGGACACTGTCTCATCTACCTACTGCTCATTCAGCTTACTTGAAGGAAGGGAATAACAATGACCATCCATTATTCATACTCACTCCCATTATTTGAGCTGAATGGGCAGCACACTGCAGCCGTTGTGTGGGCCTTGCTGAATGAGCGGGCGTCTGGCTCTGCTCTTTGACCACAGTTTGTATTGTTAGCCAGACATGTCATGCATACTACAGACACTTTCCATATGAATAACACAAAGTCAAGACACACTGCCCTAGTTGGTCAACTCTATTTGTCTCTGTCTTTATCCCTCTCTCTATCTTTTTTCCCAGGTGAATGACAGTAGTCCTAAGACAGTGCTGTCCCAGCTGTGTGAGCTGCTGGCGGCGCGGCCCCTGCAGGGTCTGGTTTATGAAGAGGAGAGGCCACCTCGCACGGCCTGGGGTCCTTTGGCCCCCATGCTGGAGTTTGTCTCTGCGCAAACAGGACTGCCCATAGTGGCAGTAGGAGGGGGAGCGGGGCTGGGGAGGATGCCACAGGTAGGAGGAGGGAGGTTGGGGTTGGGATGGGAGAGGAAGTGTTTGCAGCTTGTGTGTGTGTGTGTGTGTGTGTGGGTGTGTGTGGTTGTGTGTGTGAAAAACGGAGAGGAGAGAATCAGACGATACAAGAGGGCAGATGTCCCAGATGTGTGATTGTGTAGCTCCAAATGTGAGGACTGGCGAGCGGCACTGTGTTAATTAGGTGTGTGTTGCATGCTGAAGCAGTATGGATTGACAGCACTATGAATGAAGTATAAAGGGAGAGCTGCTTATATTGCCATAACAACTTACAATGTCACAATGTCGTCCATCCTCTCTGTGAAGAAAAGGTTTGGGGAAGTGCCGGTGGGACGGAGGGGAAGTTGAAGGTCAGGGTCGCTGATCTGCTGAAACTCTGCAGTGTTTGATCTGTAAATGGCACCAACTGGGGCTGTCGCTCTGCCTCTGATGTTCCTGGGAGGGAGGCAATGAGCAGACATGGGTGTGTGTATGAGTGAATAAGAAAGAGAGAGAGAGTGTGTGTG